GGGGTAGAGGGTCCAGGGGGTAGAGGGTCCAGGGGGTAGAGGGTCCAGGGGGTAGAGGTCCCGGGGGTAGAGGGTCCCGGGGGTAGAGGGTCCCGGGGGTAGAGGGTCCCGGGGGTAGAGGGTCCCGGGGGTAGAGGGTCCCGGGGGTAGAGGGTCCAGGGGGTAGAGGGTCCAGGGGGTAGAGGGTCCAGGGGGTAGAGGGTCCAGGGGGTAGAGGGTCCAGGGGGTAGAGGGTCCAGGGGGTAGAGGGTCCAGGGGGTAGAGGGTCCAGGGGGTAGAGGGTCCAGGGGGTAGAGGGTCCAGATACATTCGTGCTCATGCATCACATGTGTGGGTATGTTCATGGTGTGTACGTCTATGTGGGTTGCATTTTAAAATGTTTCAAAACAAGTAAGTTGTATTAAGAAAGGCATGAGATTAGGTCAAGTTTGTACATTAGAAAACATCCTGTTTTGTAAATAAATTAAAAGTTTGGAAGTTTTCTCCAAAGCCATCTGTGAATGTGCCGTACATTTTCAAATGTCAGTGTCTCCATTAACTCTGGAGTGGCAAACTATTTGCTGTGTCCATACCTTCCTCAAGGCAGTGCCTTTCTTTGTTCCTCCCCTTGGCAGAAGACATGTTCATTAGAACAGACCCAGTGAACACACAGGGAATCATAATTAAAGTAAAGCGACCCACTAACACAAAGGCAGAGAGGAGAAAAATAGTCATTTCATGATAGGAATTGGAACCGCCAGCCAGGGAGCGCACAGGAGCAGCATCACAGAAGTGCTGGACGATATTGGAGCCACAGAAAGACAGTTGAATACAGTGATGAGGATGCACAGAGAAACCAGGAACCCGACCATCCAAGATGCCACCATGAGGGGCAGCAGATCTTGGGCGTCATCCGGGTGGTGTAGTGCAGCGGGTTGTGAATGGCGGTGTAACCGTCACAGGACATGGCCGCCATGGTGAAGCAGTTGTTAGCTCCCAAGCCAAAGAAGAAAAACAACTGTGTGGTGCACTCAGGAAGAGAAGTGGTCTTGCTGTCTGGCCGCAGGTCCACCAGCTCGCGGGGGATGATCACCATGCTGGTGCACGTCTCTGAAAAGGACAGGCCACAGAGGACAAAGTGCATGGGGGTGTGAAGACAAAATTAAAATCACGTTTTAATGATACATGCAGTGATACAGAGGTTGCTAGTATTCTTGCAAGACCTCGCAAGGAAAAAACTGGTTCCATCAGAATTGTTTCTTAGAAAGAATCATTTTATAAGAAAGAAATTTTTTATTCTGTTGAACCGAACTGTTGCATTTGGATTTAATTGTCACTACAATCTTGTGTGTCTTCACTAATATTTATGGTTAATATACTCTCTGCAATTGCTTACAAATCTTTAATATTTCCAGAGATCTCAGTCTATATATCTCCCTAGGAGCCCTGTAACTTCACCTATTTTCATTCAAGTGCACATACTTTGTGGGTATTTCATTGTGTTATTGGCTTTACTGGGGAAGGGAGCAGTTGGTCATATATATCGGTACAAAATGAAGTTGTTACTGGAATTATAACCATGACATTAACAATGCATGTAGATAAGTAGTGATTTTACTTCGTAAAAGTAGAACTACATCCCCTTAAATTTAGCCAATATTATTTGCTGTGCCCATGAACATTCTCTAACAGGTGTGATGAGACTGCACTTCCTGCCTTAGTTATTCAGACAGTTAAAGTTGTTTCATGGACCATGTGTTTTAAATGAAAAGGAACAGGTAGGAAATAAAACTATAATGCAAATCTAGACCCATAGCAGGATAGTTGACAGCTGCATGTCTGCAGGAAAAAAATAGTCAATATTTTCTGTGAGGATAGATTGAAATGGGATTAAAGTACAGCTGGATTTTATGAGATGCTCTATAACAGTACACATTTCTCTCAGACTTAAAAGAAGTATCTGGATGAGTTTGACAACTTAGACTATTCAGTAATCACAAATTCTATCAATTTTTATATAACTATTGATAATTTTCTAATGTGGCATTTCAGAAATATGAACGCCTTGCTAAATACTGTTTGTAATAGATTCAGGTTTGCTCAATGATGCCTATGTGATGACTTCTCTAAAACCTTACCAAAATGATGTACACAATTCATGACCTTTTTACTAGAGAAAGATACAACCCCGTGAACTCAAGAACTGTATGATGCTGTATGCACTGTATGCACTCAGATTCTTCTAGAAATTTCCTAATTATGTTTATATATGAGCTTGATCAGTATCTTTGAAATGTTATTCTGAAGAAAATAGATCATATATATAATATTATAATAAACTTTTCATTAAACCATTAACTGTTCTTGGGCCTCCCCGGTGGCGCAGCGGTTGAGTGCTGGGTTGTGAAGCTGCCCGCGGCCTCTGCAGCTCCGGTTCGATCCCCAGCTGCTCCCCGGCCACCGGAGGAGGGTCCCACATGGCGCGCAGACCTCTCCTGCCGCCCGCTGCTCCCCTCAGCAGTGTACTTCGGTCCTTCTGCCTGCTCTGCTCCCCACTCTGGCTCTGGTGAATCCTCTCACCCTCCCGCACTTCTGACTGTACCCAGTGCATGTATAAACAAAACAAACAAATAAATAAATAAATAAAACATGCCTCTAAAGAAAAAAAAAAACAAAACTATTAACTGTTCTTCCATAAACATTCAGTTAATCTTATGTATCAAATAAATTATATTCCCAAATATTTTCTTTTGTTTTATGCTTGTCAGGCAGAATTTTTTGTTCGTTTTTATTATATTCCTATGCATAATGTGAAAGTTCCTGCCAAACTGCAGAGGTAATTCTTATGAGCAAAGAGTTTTTTTGGTGGGGGGAGCAAGGGGTTAGACATTTTAGTTATTTAAAAAACACAAGAAACACTTAGTGTCATCCTGTAAATGCTGTGAAAGCTACCAACAAGGATTATGTTGATATCCATTACTCTTAAGGACAAAGATGAAATTTAGCTTGGCCCACAGACCCTGGATCATCTATACTGCATCCTCCTTTCTTTTTTTTTTTTTAATTAAAGATTTATTTATTTATTTATACAAGCACTGGGTACAGTCAGAAGCATGGGAGGGTGAGAGAATTCACCAGAGCCAGAGCGGGGAATAGAACAGGCAGATGGACGAAGTACACTGCTGAGGGGAGCAGCGGGCGCGGCAGGAGAGGTCTGCACGCCATGTGGGACCCTGGTGGCCGGGGATCGAACCGGCGCTGCAGAAGCTGCGGACAGCTTTTCAGCCCAGCGTTCAACCGCTGCGCCACCAGGGGAGGCCCCATCCTCATTTCTTAAAATAAACAGAATGATATACCCAGCTCATGGGTTGGAGGAATCAACATTGTCAAAATGGCTATCCAAACCAAAGCAATTTAGAGATTCAATGCAGTCCCAAAAAAATCACAATGGCGTTCCTCAAAGAAATAGAACAAAGATTACTGAAGTTCATAAGAAATCACAAAAGACCCCAAATAGCCAAAGCTTTCCTGATATCAAAGGGGGGAAATGAAGGTATCACACTTCTAATTTCCAACTATACTATAAGGCCAGAGTAGTTAAAGCAGCATGGTAATGGAACAAAAACAGACACACAGACTAACGGAATAGAATTGAGAGCTCAAATAAAAAACCACTTGTTTATGGACAAGTAATATACAAGAAAAGAGTAAAGTACATACACTGGAACAAGGAAAGTCTCTCCAATATATGGTGGTGAAAAATAGGAACTACCACAAGTAAAATAAAGAAACTAAATCATTATCTCATACAACACATGAAAATCAACTCAAAATGGATAACAGACTTGGCTATGAGACCTGAAACCACCAAAATACAAACACAAAAAAGAATAGGACAGAATAGAATGAAATCCCTAGGTTCCAAAAACTTGCCTCAAGTTCATAGCCATCCCCAGTGTCCGGCCCGAAGGCATGCTGTCATTTTCAGTCTTCCTAGAGCTCAGATGCTGATGCTGGTAGCAGAGATTCCAAAGTCAACAAGAAAAATGGTGGCAGCAACATAGAGAGTTCCACTTTTGTGGAAGTGCAGCCGTGGGCTGACTTCTGGGCAGGCTTGCCAACCCTATGAGGCCAGAAGCATCATCAATTATTTGGGTGCTAAGACTCCAATGAAGCAATGCGGAAGGAAAAACATCTCTGGGAATAACCAAAGCCATGTCAAGGAGCCATAGGAATGCCAACATCAGGGTTCTCCACCACGGAGTAAGAGTAACATCTCTATAGTGTCATTAATGGAGATCGCTCACTTCAGTCACGCGTGCGCTGCAGGGCCTCAGGTCACCTCCAGCAGGTGCTCAGTAAATGAGATTCCTTTCTCCTTCCCTGAGGAGCCCAACTTCTCCTCGTAACAGGGATTTGCAAGGAAGGAGGTAACATCACTTTAACACATTAGAACAGTTAAGAGGCAAAGTGGATTATCTACAAAATGCCCAGTTCCCAGGTGAATGAGTCACTGTGACTGATGCAGCCTCTGAAATAGGAAGAATCCTCTTGGCACCAGGTGTCATGGAGAAAAGATCTCAAGAGCTCAGGAAAGGGTGCTTCCAGGTCTCAGGTTATCCCCCACGAAGACCTTTGCACCCCCCGTTTCACAGGTGGGTCCTTTAGTGACACGGAGAGGGTCACTGCTCTCACTACACTGAGTTGGTTAATAATAAACCAATTTAGAAAGCCAAGAGTGTGGAGCTGTGTGGCTCTTGGTCACTCGAGGCTCAGGACAGCCTGGATTCTACTCAAGGGAGAGTCTAAAGTCAGCTCATGGGCCTCCCTGGTGGTGCAAGGGGTTAGGAATCAACCTATGAAGCGATCTGCAGCATCTGCAGCCTATGTTTGATCTCCAGGTGACCAGGGAGCTACCCACATGGCGCAGCAGACCCCTCCTGACTCGCCAGCGACTCCCCTCAGCAGTGTACTTCAGTCAATCTGCCTGTTCTGTCCCCCACTCTGTCTCTGGTGAATTTTCGCCCCCATACCACCGGCCTGTACCTCAGTTCTTGTATGCATAAATAAATCTTTAAAAAATAAAAAAAATATAAAGTCGCCTCAAAAGGCAGTTTCCAGGTGTGAAATCCCCCTTCCAGGCTCTGAATGGCCACATCAGCTGCGCGACAGGGAAGTGATGCTTCAGCCCTCGGACATGGGCCCAGGCCCAGTAGTGGCAGCACGTCAGAACCCGTGAGAAAAGCAGAGCCCCAGGCCCACGCGGCCCACTGGTCAGAGCCTGCACCCTGGGAGACTGGACGCAGCTCGGCCTCCTGCCTGCCGGAGGGGCGGGAGGGGGATGGGCCCCAGGAAAGTGGAAAACCCTTCCCCAAACTGCACTGTAGACCGCGGGGATGAAAACGCACAGGCCAGCGGGGGATGGAGGGCCCAGGACCCGCCAGAGCGCCCTCGCGGGCTGCAGTCGGGAGCAAATGTCTCGGGAAGGGGCGGAGCCACGCGCAGGAGGGAACGGGACCCCTGAGTCCTGCCTGCCCCAAAACGAACCCCCAAGGCCCCAGTTCTCCACATCCAGCCCACCGAGCTGGGGCCACCCCGAACCCTTGTGTCTTCCTTCCTCACCTGTCCACTCCAAGGCCGCCGGCTTCCCAGGTCAAGGGCAGTGGCGCCCCACGAGGTTCCTGAAGGACCAGGCTCACCCCAGATGGAACCTCAACCCGAGTTGGGGGCCAGCAAGGCCAGGGGCCCGGCCTGGGCGACCGCGCATGCGCGGTAGCAGCACAGGTGCAGCCAGGTGAGCTGGGCGGGGCTGGGCGCGCTGGGGCTGCCGGAGGCCACGCCCACCGGGCCGCAGGCGAAGGCGGGACGGTTCGCAAATAAACAGGTGGAGCTGAGCAGGGAGAGAAGCTGCAGAGGAGACTGAGGAAGGAAGGAAGCAGGATGGAGAACCAGAAGGAGACCTGGAGGAGGCGCATGGAGCCGAGAGACACGTAAAGAAAGTACACTTGCCTTTTGGTAATGGACTGGGTGACACAGATGTGGGTGAGACCCGTGGGGAGGTGACAATGGCTGTTTTTGTCTTGATTTTGATTTTCCTCTTTTCCCTCCAGACTTGTCTGGTGGTTTCTGATCCTTTACTGGGGGTCCCCACGGG